TTGAGGAAATGGACTCTCATTTAAAAACAAAACGAAAAGTATAATTGTAAGTTACAGGACTTGCTGGATTTCTTTCTCCACCAGATTTTACCATTAGAAAGCAGTATCAGCACAACATTCTTAATGTTCCAAAAGGTATAAATTATAAAAATACAAAAAGGCTATGAAATGCCCACGTTTGGTTCTCCATAGAATTGGAATTGAAACCTCAATTTCAATTCTTGTGTTGGGGTATTATTTTTCCTATAGAATTAGAATTGAATTGCAATTCTAAATACATCGAATTCCGTAGTTTCAATTCTTTGGCTGGACCAAAGAATTCCAATTCCAATTCCACGCTTGAACTCTTAAATCGGGTCAATACGCGGGTCTTTTACAGGTAAAATCTCAAAAATTGGTCAACTATAAAATTGATGGAAAAAACTCAAACGTCTCTCTTCTCTTCCCATTATCGATCGCCATATCTAATGCTCTGTTGGAGCATTCCTGCTGCCGCCTCCTCCACTTGTGCTGGCCACTGCATAACACAGGTTGAAATTATGGGGTTTTAATTAGTTTCTGTCAGCCTTCCCCTTCTCTTTTAGTGAATGAATTGAGAATTGATTCGACGAGTGAAGAATGAAATTTCATTACCAATTTGGCAAAATTCATTGATCATTACTTTTGTATTCCATTGTTGCTCTGATTGTCCACTGTTACTTGATTGATTATTTTCCCTTGAACTTTGATGAAAATTGGAGAGCTCATACTGTAAAAGTTGAAAGGATTAATCATGATATGAAAAGGGAACCTTTTTGTTAGTGTTTTCTTGTTGAATTTTTGGTGTTGTTTTGTCTTTAGACAAGTAAATTGTTGAATGAAATTCTGGTTGATTTGTATTTGATTGGAATTTTGTGATCCCTTTTGTTTCTTATGGTGGATGGTGTGTAATATGAAGAACATACCTAGATATTGATGAATAAAAGGTTGAGCCTGGCAAAATTTTAAGTGAACAGCCTCTGCAACGACTAATTTTCTCATCAGAGAATTCATCGTCTTTGAGTTTGCTCAATATCAAGGGATGCTCATGACTGAAATGTTGGATCTGCTCCATTAATTCTCTCTTGTGTGTGTGTTGTGTGAGATTGAGGAGAGAAAATGAGGGAATGCTGAATTTAATTCTCTGAGCCTTAGAGCTTAATTATCAACTTTCCTGGTCAATGGCTGCTGAAATGTATATTAAGAAAAAAAGGTGAAAAATGCTTTACTTAAAGATCAACATAGCTTAAACCTTTTAGACTGCATATTCTTTGCTCTTAGTAGTAGCTAACAAATTGGAACTCACTTTCTTACCGAGGAAGTAGTCTTCATATTCACAAAAGTTTTAACACATCCTAATAAAGCATAAACAGTTTGTGTGAAAAAAAATGAAGGTTCGTTTCAGTAACACTATCTTCCTGCAATCATAAGAAAATGAAAAATCAATTTTGCTTTTATCGTATATGATAGAATTCATCTCTTTAAAACTTGTATTATATTAACAAAATCTATTTCACCAATACGCATAAATTTGTTGGCTGTTGGCTGTTATGATCAAGTATATAACGTCTCCAGTTCACACTCCAAGGCTGTTGGCTGTTATGACCAAGTGTCAGATTAAAAAATCTTCTTAAAACCAGTTCTACTCTTCTTAACTTAGTATCTAGAATCATAGAAGGAATCACAAATTTACTTTGACAGAGCGAATTTTTAGTTCTATACTGCAGTGGCTGTTGAAAAACTTGCTGTTAGGGCCTGAAAAATCTTTTATGTATCAGCTCAAGGCTGCTAAATTCTCGTCAATGGACATGGAATGTGATGAATGTTTGTTTTGGACTATTTAATGTTGTCATAAATTCTCTCACACACTCTCTCTTAGCGTATATTTAAATGTGTTTGATTGTTCCTAATATGTTACAGGAAGGCTTGTTTAACTTTGCCTTGCATTTAAGTGAAGTCGGTGCATTCTTCTTGATAGCAAAGTTGTGGGCTGATATGAAGTTGGGTATGCTTAAAGGCTGAAGATCGTCACTTCAGTCTTCCTTGTATCTGTGGTTTTATAAAGGTATTTATTTTCAAGCACTTAGAATGCTGTGAATAGGTTTTTGATGTGAAAATTATAGCTCTATCTCTGGCTTTCATGTTTCAACTCTTGAGCCTGGTAATAACGGTTCAATTTTGACACTAACTAGAACAGTTGTCCTGCAGTTCTTTGGTGTATGTTTCTGTATATAATCAATTGTTACGCATATTTTAAAGCTTATGTGGTGTAACAGTTGGGCCTTCCCTGCAATTCATTGCTAGTTAGGAAATTGTAAATAGCTATCTTTATCTCACACACACACACACACTTATATAGAGGAGTTTTAAGGGGAAGATAATTAATCTTTTGTTCTGTAACTCACAGAATTGAGTGTAATAGTTTCCCAAGCTTGTTTTTCAAGGCAAAATGGGCAGTACCAAATCGAAACACTAACCTAATCATAGCAATGAATCACAGAAGCTAATAATTATGTTTACCAACAACTTGCACAAACTAATGAATTACAAAATTGTAGCTAATTCCTAAGCGATCTCTAAAGTATTAAAGGTGTATAAGCCAATATATTTGTTTCTGTCAATAGTTGTATTCACAAGCTGTAAATGTAATATTTCGGGAAAGGCAAAAATATTATTGCAGATTATTATGTCAGAGGTTTCATTAGCTATCATTTTAGCTTCAATTGACTATGTAGAATTTAACACACTCACTTTTTAAAATTTGGTCTTTTGACTTACCTTTTCTTATTGTTGTCGTGATTTTGAATTGCAGAATTTGGATATTGACATGGATAAGGAAGGAGACGAGCAAAAAACTAAAAAGAGAAAAGTGGTAGTTGCAAATTATATGGTAACAGTAGCCACATTAGTAGCCTTTCTTGGACTTTAAAGTAGCACGTGAAATATATCTAAGGCGTCTTTACTATGGAAACAATAGAGTTTGTGTAGAGCAACTTAGACTCAATAAACATTGTTTTACTGTTTTATGTACAAATTTAAGAGAGCATTGTGGGTTGAGGGATACTAGAAATATTACTGTTGAAGAAGCAGTTGCAATGTTTCTCTATGTTCTTGCTCATAACTTTAAGAATCGCACTGTCAATTTTAATTTCATAAGATCAGGTGAGACAGTTAGTCGATACTTTAATATAGTTCTATGTGCTATCATAAAATTGGGGAGACACTATCTTATCCAGCCTGAAACGGAAATGGAAGGTTACGAACATGAAAAGTGGGAATGGTTTCAGGTAATCAATATTTTTTGATATTTGTTAATGAAGATAATATCTATAAGATTCATCAACTTATGATATTTTGTTTATAATACAGGATTGTCTTGGAGCGTTAGACAGTACTTATGTTAAGGTACATGTTCTTCTTAGAGATCAAGGAAGATATAGGAATAGGAAGAATGAGATAGCAACAAATGTTTTAGGTGTATGCTCCCGTGACATGAGATTTACATATGTATTGCCTGGATGGGAAGATTTTACAGCAGATAGTAGAGTTCTACGGGATGCATTAGTTAGATCAGATCCATTAATTGTTCCCAAGGGTATGTGACAATTAGATATCAAGTGTTTTTTTTCTTTTAACTATAAATGAGTAATAATTTGTTGTCTAACATTACAGGCAAGTACTTTCTTGTTGATGCGGGTTATGCAAATAGCTCCGGTTTCTTAGCTCCATATAGGGGAGTTAGATATCATCTTAGTGAGTGGTCTGCTAGTGGGAGCAAGCCTCAAAATTTTAAAGAGTTATTCAACCTTCGACATTCAATTGCTCGAAATGTGATTAAAAGGACATTTGGTTTGTTCAAGAAGCGGTGGGCCATTTTGAGAGATGCATCTTTTTTTGATGTTAAGACTCATGTCATGATAATTAATGTATGTGCCATCCTTCATAATCTTATTCGAGTAGAACAACCAAATGACCCTTACTTGGATGAAGTTGATGCTGAGATGCGAAGAGTACAACATGAGGTTGATGATGAAGATGAAATGGAAGATGAAGATGAGGAAAATGGAATGGAAGATGATGGTCCAAATAATGATGGTGGTGTAAATGCTATTAACGAGAATCGAATTCGAACAGTACAACCAACTAGCGAGTGGACACAATTTAGGAATGCTTTAGCACGAGCAATGTTTATTGACTATCAAATTAGACAAGGCCATCATGGAAGTTGAAATTTGATAGGAATTTATTCGAACTTAATTTAATATTAGAATGGCCATTTATTGAAAAATAGTAGCAATGTATAACTGTGCTTTTCTTTCTCTTTTTTTTTTTGGCTAAAAATACTTTGTTTGCGTATTCATCTATTGGAATTTCTTGTAAGATACAAAACTCAAATATTTATAATAGGTACAAGTTATGACTTTCCTCCCAATTCATATCATAGAGTAGGCTTTTGATTTTCTAAAATTTAAAGTTCTTAACTTTAAAAAAGTATCAAGGTTTTAACTCGATAAATATTAACTACTTTTTAAGTTAGAATATACAATTATTTTTTATTTAATATAATTTAATTTAAAATAAAAGAATTTTTTTATTTTTGCAAAAAAAGAACTAATTTTTTTTCTTTTAAAGCTTTATTAACAATTCGTTAAATGCAAGAAAAAATAAATTATTAAAGGCACTAATTGGTTTTTTCCTTAAAGCTTTAGTAACAATTAGCTAAATGTTAAAAAATTATTATATAGTAAAAAAAAGAAATTTTTTATGTAAGGAAATATTAATTGGAAACAATTCTAATTTTTAATGAATTCTTCTCCCATCCAAACAAAGAATTTGAAATTTCAAATGAATTATGTATCAATTCTATGCATTTCCCAAACAAAAGAATTGAAATGACTTGAAATTTCAATTCATAGAATTCTAATTCTATAGAATTTCAATTCTAATTCAATTCTAATTCTGTAGAACCAAACGTACCCTTATTCTCTCAACTACTAACACCCATGAAGGCTCCTTTTTTTAATGTAAATAGTAAGAGATACAAGACTCAAACACAATCGGGAGTGAAAAACTGCATATGCTTCCAGTCTGTGATAAGATAACAAGTCGTTATCTCAAGTTTAAAACCTTATTGACATAACAAATGAGATATGATAAAGCAAATGAAATAGATATATAATGGAAATATTTTGGGCACATGATAACAACAAAGAAAGGTATTAATACCTTTCAAAATGGCATTTGAGGCCAAAATATCACTTTAATTTATCACTTTAATCTTGTTTACCTGCAACAGTTGAAACTTATTCAAAACTATTTTTGAATCTTGGAATTAAAATCACCAAAAGCCGAAAGAAGTTCGATTTCTTTGGAATTCATAAAAGGTAGAGACATCAAGAAATGAATATAGGAACTTGTAGAATAGAAGACTTGCAAATATTATTTTTTGAACTAATTTTGACTATTTAAATAACATAAAGTAAGAACTCAGCAAGGAGGCTTCATATTCCTGTTTCATCAAATATAATAAAAGCATCTCTACACTTAAAGTCACCAAGCAGATACACAACTATTTATTTGGTTGAGTTAGACTAAGTATAAAAATTGTATATCTCAGTTTAAAGGTTTGAAACTGCACACTTGTCAAATGGATTTAAACGAAATTTTGCATTCCTACTTGTGCTCCCAAAAAAAGGACAAGATAACAATCAGCCAATATTTTGCACCTTTTTGTCATTACTTATGGGTTGTATATAAGTTCTTACTTGAATTCGAGAAAAGAAGAAAGCAAAAAAAACTTTGTATAATACATACTGTATAAAAAAAGAAAATGACAACTTCTTTAGTGCTACAATTTAAATATGTTTCACCTTTTTGAAAAAGACATTTTTTAAACCATTTCAGCTATTTAATTAGTTAAACCACTTCGTAAATTGTCAAGTCCTTGTGCTCCAATGAAACAGCAAAAGTGGCACGCCACTTAGGTTCCCAATTTATATTAAATCTACCATAGAAATTTTTGTGCTTATTTTAGTAGCCAAATTTTTAAAGTCAATGATTAAGAAACTTAATTACATAGCACACCAAACATCTTACTAAAGCAAGCAGCACATTGTGGGCATAATCAAACTTTTTAATACAAAACTACGAAAACAAGAAGCCAAGAATTTAATTTCACTTACTTGAGCTATAAAATGCTATTCAAAAGTGTGAAATAGTTGGCTACCTCTCTCTCATAGTAGACCGCCTATGCATAAACCGTTGCACCTTTGCACCTTTATCTTGGGCACAATTTTCTTCTATTTTGAAAAGCAAAAAAGAAATTTAGAACCCAGTTTTTACCATAGCCATGATGCACAGGTATTCAAAGATTCAAAAGTCAAAAGAATTAGCTTTCTGGATGATGCTCTCTGTGTCTTGCTTAGGAACCTTATAAACGCTTCAATCAAACAAATTAAATTGTAGTAAGAAGTACAGTTACTAACATGCATATCTTAAGTCAACCATTTTCTTCTTTGTCAGGAAGAAATTACCATATTTCTATGTGCTTTGGTAGCCATCTAGCATGAGGAAAAAATGATCAAAAGGGTTAAAATAAAAAAAGATGTCCCATGATAGCTTAAACAAATAAAAGCTAGAACAAGAACAAAACCAAGAAAATGATTTGAGAAATCACCAAACAACAGAATCATGATGGGAACAAAAGGAGCATCAAAAAGAGTTGAGAAAGAGTATTCATTGCCAAGATATCATCAATATACATTATATTTAGTCACACTTACACAAACTCAATAAGATTCCAACATTAGTACAATATGTCTTGTTTTACAACTAAACACTTACCAAGGGACAAAATGCAAAGATAATCTGGCCGCAACCAATTGTTTTTTATTTTGTATTGCTAGCAAAACAGTCAGATATTCCCCTATACATGAAGTTTCACTTAGAGGTTAATCTTTTCATTCCTACAATCCATTGACTATGATTGGAAAAAATAAGAGACGATGCTAATGGCGGTTGCTATGATTGGAAGATGTCGGGCACTATATCTCGGTGAGCATTGACTAAATTTCTTCTTTGGCTTTCTCCTTTGGAAAATAGATTGAAAGTACAATTATTAATCTTTCCACAGCGTCTAATTAAGAACTTCATAGTTGGTACTTGTTCCAAGCGTAAAATTTGCGAGCATGATAAAGCACAGGGTAATATCTTCACAAATAACTTAAATTTACAGAAATCCATTTTTTCAAATAAATAATGCATAATATCAAATATATATTTAAAGACAATAAAATTTGAAATCACGAGATATTTATACGTTTTAGTATGAGGAACCAATACGACCCCACACACCTCTGGCTATGATACACGTTATCTCCTTAAGCACATCATTGTCAATTGAGAATTGATTCGACGAGTGAAGAATGAAATTTCATTACCAATTTGGCAAAATTCATTGATCATTACTTTTGTATTCCATTGTTGCTCTGATTGTCCACTGTCACTTGATTGATTATTTTCCCTTGAACTTTGATGAAAATTGGAGAGCTCATACTGTAAAAGTTGAAAGGATTAATCATGATATGAAAAGGGAACCTTTTTGTTAGTGTTTTCTTGTTGAATTTTTGGTGTTGTTTTGTCTTTAGACAAGTAAATTGTTGAATGAAATTCTGGTTGATTTGTATTTGATTGGAATTTTGTGATCCCTTTTGTTTCTTATGGTGGATGGTGTGTAATATGAAGAACATACCTAGATATTGATGAATAAAAGGTTGAGCCTGGCAAAATTTTAAGTGAACAGCCTCTGCAACGACTAATTTTCTCATCAGAGAATTCATCGTCTTTGAGTTTGCTCAATATCAAGGGATGCTCATGACTGAAATGTTGGATCTGCTCCATTAATTCTCTCTTGTGTGTGTGTTGTGTGAGATTGAGGAGAGAAAATGAGGGAATGCTGAATTTAATTCTCTGAGCCTTAGAGCTTAATTATCAACTTTCCTGGTCAATGGCTGCTGAAATGTATATTAAGAAAAAAAGGTGAAAAATGCTTTACTTAAAGATCAACATAGCTTAAACCTTTTAGACTGCATATTCTTTGCTCTTAGTAGTAGCTAACAAATTGGAACTCACTTTCTTACCGAGGAAGTAGTCTTCATATTCACAAAAGTTTTAACACATCCTAATAAAGCATAAACAGTTTGTGTGAAAAAAAATGAAGGTTCGTTTCAGTAACACTATCTTCCTGCAATCATAAGAAAATGAAAAATCAATTTTGCTTTTATCGTATATGATAGAATTCATCTCTTTAAAACTTGTATTATATTAACAAAATCTATTTCACCAATACGCATAAATTTGTTGGCTGTTGGCTGTTATGATCAAGTATATAACGTCTCCAGTTCACACTCCAAGGCTGTTGGCTGTTATGACCAAGTGTCAGATTAAAAAATCTTCTTAAAACCAGTTCTACTCTTCTTAACTTAGTATCTAGAATCATAGAAGGAATCACAAATTTACTTTGACAGAGCGAATTTTTAGTTCTATACTGCAGTGGCTGTTGAAAAACTTGCTGTTAGGGCCTGAAAAATCTTTTATGTATCAGCTCAAGGCTGCTAAATTCTCGTCAATGGACATGGAATGTGATGAATGTTTGTTTTGGACTATTTAATGTTGTCATAAATTCTCTCACACACTCTCTCTTAGCGTATATTTAAATGTGTTTGATTGTTCCTAATATGTTACAGGAAGGCTTGTTTAACTTTGCCTTGCATTTAAGTGAAGTCGGTGCATTCTTCTTGATAGCAAAGTTGTGGGCTGATATGAAGTTGGGTATGCTTAAAGGCTGAAGATCGTCACTTCAGTCTTCCTTGTATCTGTGGTTTTATAAAGGTATTTATTTTCAAGCACTTAGAATGCTGTGAATAGGTTTTTGATGTGAAAATTATAGCTCTATCTCTGGCTTTCATGTTTCAACTCTTGAGCCTGGTAATAACGGTTCAATTTTGACACTAACTAGAACAGTTGTCCTGCAGTTCTTTGGTGTATGTTTCTGTATATAATCAATTGTTACGCATATTTTAAAGCTTATGTGGTGTAACAGTTGGGCCTTCCCTGCAATTCATTGCTAGTTAGGAAATTGTAAATAGCTATCTTTATCTCACACACACACACACACTTATATAGAGGAGTTTTAAGGGGAAGATAATTAATCTTTTGTTCTGTAACTCACAGAATTGAGTGTAATAGTTTCCCAAGCTTGTTTTTCAAGGCAAAATGGGCAGTACCAAATCGAAACACTAACCTAATCATAGCAATGAATCACAGAAGCTAATAATTATGTTTACCAACAACTTGCACAAACTAATGAATTACAAAATTGTAGCTAATTCCTAAGCGATCTCTAAAGTATTAAAGGTGTATAAGCCAATATATTTGTTTCTGTCAATAGTTGTATTCACAAGCTGTAAATGTAATATTTCGGGAAAGGCAAAAATATTATTGCAGATTATTATGTCAGAGGTTTCATTAGCTATCATTTTAGCTTCAATTGACTATGTAGAATTTAACACACTCACTTTTTAAAATTTGGTCTTTTGACTTACCTTTTCTTATTGTTGTCGTGATTTTGAATTGCAGAATTTGGATATTGACATGGATAAGGAAGGAGACGAGCAAAAAACTAAAAAGAGAAAAGTGGTAGTTGCAAATTATATGGTAACAGTAGCCACATTAGTAGCCTTTCTTGGACTTTAAAGTAGCACGTGAAATATATCTAAGGCGTCTTTACTATGGAAACAATAGAGTTTGTGTAGAGCAACTTAGACTCAATAAACATTGTTTTACTGTTTTATGTACAAATTTAAGAGAGCATTGTGGGTTGAGGGATACTAGAAATATTACTGTTGAAGAAGCAGTTGCAATGTTTCTCTATGTTCTTGCTCATAACTTTAAGAATCGCACTGTCAATTTTAATTTCATAAGATCAGGTGAGACAGTTAGTCGATACTTTAATATAGTTCTATGTGCTATCATAAAATTGGGGAGACACTATCTTATCCAGCCTGAAACGGAAATGGAAGGTTACGAACATGAAAAGTGGGAATGGTTTCAGGTAATCAATATTTTTTGATATTTGTTAATGAAGATAATATCTATAAGATTCATCAACTTATGATATTTTGTTTATAATACAGGATTGTCTTGGAGCGTTAGACAGTACTTATGTTAAGGTACATGTTCTTCTTAGAGATCAAGGAAGATATAGGAATAGGAAGAATGAGATAGCAACAAATGTTTTAGGTGTATGCTCCCGTGACATGAGATTTACATATGTATTGCCTGGATGGGAAGATTTTACAGCAGATAGTAGAGTTCTACGGGATGCATTAGTTAGATCAGATCCATTAATTGTTCCCAAGGGTATGTGACAATTAGATATCAAGTGTTTTTTTTCTTTTAACTATAAATGAGTAATAATTTGTTGTCTAACATTACAGGCAAGTACTTTCTTGTTGATGCGGGTTATGCAAATAGCTCCGGTTTCTTAGCTCCATATAGGGGAGTTAGATATCATCTTAGTGAGTGGTCTGCTAGTGGGAGCAAGCCTCAAAATTTTAAAGAGTTATTCAACCTTCGACATTCAATTGCTCGAAATGTGATTGAAAGGACATTTGGTTTGTTCAAGAAGCGGTGGGCCATTTTGAGAGATGCATATTTTTTTGATGTTAAGACTCATGTCATGATAATTAATGTATGTGCCATCCTTCATAATCTTATTCGAGTAGAACAACCAAATGACCCTTACTTGGATGAAGTTGATGCTGAGATGCGAAGAGTACAACATGAGGTTGATGATGAAGATGAAATGGAAGATGAAGATGAGGAAAATGGAATGGAAGATGATGGTCCAAATAATGATGGTGGTGTAAATGCTATTAACGAGAATCGAATTCGAACAGTACAACCAACTAGCGAGTGGACACAATTTAGGAATGCTTTAGCACGAGCAATGTTTATTGACTATCAAATTAGACAAGGCCATCATGGAAGTTGAAATTTGATAGGAATTTATTCGAACTTAATTTAATATTAGAATGGCCATTTATTGAAAAATAGTAGCAATGTATAACTGTGCTTTTCTTTCTCTTTTTTTTTTTGGCTAAAAATACTTTGTTTGCGTATTCATCTATTGGAATTTCTTGTAAGATACAAAACTCAAATATTTATAATAGGTACAAGTTATGACTTTCCTCCCAATTCATATCATAGAGTAGGCTTTTGATTTTCTAAAATTTAAAGTTCTTAACTTTAAAAAAGTATCAAGGTTTTAACTCGATAAATATTAACTACTTTTTAAGTTAGAATATACAATTATTTTTTATTTAATATAATTTAATTTAAAATAAAAGAATTTTTTTATTTTTGCAAAAAAAGAACTAATTTTTTTTCTTTTAAAGCTTTATTAACAATTCGTTAAATGCAAGAAAAAATAAATTATTAAAGGCACTAATTGGTTTTTTCCTTAAAGCTTTAGTAACAATTAGCTAAATGTTAAAAAATTATTATATAGTAAAAAAAAGAAATTTTTTATGTAAGGAAATATTAATTGGAAACAATTCTAATTTTTAATGAATTCTTCTCCCATCCAAACAAAGAATTTGAAATTTCAAATGAATTATGTATCAATTCTATGCATTTCCCAAACAAAAGAATTGAAATGACTTGAAATTTCAATTCATAGAATTCTAATTCTATAGAATTTCAATTCTAATTCAATTCTAATTCTGTAGAACCAAACGTACCCTTATTCTCTCAACTACTAACACCCATGAAGGCTCCTTTTTTTAATGTAAATAGTAAGAGATACAAGACTCAAACACAATCGGGAGTGAAAAACTGCATATGCTTCCAGTCTGTGATAAGATAACAAGTCGTTATCTCAAGTTTAAAACCTTATTGACATAACAAATGAGATATGATAAAGCAAATGAAATAGATATATAATGGAAATATTTTGGGCACATGATAACAACAAAGAAAGGTATTAATACCTTTCAAAATGGCATTTGAGGCCAAAATATCACTTTAATTTATCACTTTAATCTTGTTTACCTGCAACAGTTGAAACTTATTCAAAACTATTTTTGAATCTTGGAATTAAAATCACCAAAAGCCGAAAGAAGTTCGATTTCTTTGGAATTCATAAAAGGTAGAGACATCAAGAAATGAATATAGGAACTTGTAGAATAGAAGACTTGCAAATATTATTTTTTGAACTAATTTTGACTATTTAAATAACATAAAGTAAGAACTCAGCAAGGAGGCTTCATATTCCTGTTTCATCAAATATAATAAAAGCATCTCTACACTTAAAGTCACCAAGCAGATACACAACTATTTATTTGGTTGAGTTAGACTAAGTATAAAAATTGTATATCTCAGTTTAAAGGTTTGAAACTGCACACTTGTCAAATGGATTTAAACGAAATTTTGCATTCCTACTTGTGCTCCCAAAAAAAGGACAAGATAACAATCAGCCAATATTTTGCACCTTTTTGTCATTACTTATGGGTTGTATATAAGTTCTTACTTGAATTCGAGAAAAGAAGAAAGCAAAAAAAACTTTGTATAATACATACTGTATAAAAAAAGAAAATGACAACTTCTTTAGTGCTACAATTTAAATATGTTTCACCTTTTTGAAAAAGACATTTTTTAAACCATTTCAGCTATTTAATTAGTTAAACCACTTCGTAAATTGTCAAGTCCTTGTGCTCCAATGAAACAGCAAAAGTGGCACGCCACTTAGGTTCCCAATTTATATTAAATCTACCATAGAAATTTTTGTGCTTATTTTAGTAGCCAAATTTTTAAAGTCAATGATTAAGAAACTTAATTACATAGCACACCAAACATCTTACTAAAGCAAGCAGCACATTGTGGGCATAATCAAACTTTTTAATACAAAACTACGAAAACAAGAAGCCAAGAATTTAATTTCACTTACTTGAGCTATAAAATGCTATTCAAAAGTGTGAAATAGTTGGCTACCTCTCTCTCATAGTAGACCGCCTATGCATAAACCGTTGCACCTTTGCACCTTTATCTTGGGCACAATTTTCTTCTATTTTGAAAAGCAAAAAAGAAATTTAGAACCCAGTTTTTACCATAGCCATGATGCACAGGTATTCAAAGATTCAAAAGTCAAAAGAATTAGCTTTCTGGATGATGCTCTCTGTGTCTTGCTTAGGAACCTTATAAACGCTTCAATCAAACAAATTAAATTGTAGTAAGAAGTACAGTTACTAACATGCATATCTTAAGTCAACCATTTTCTTCTTTGTCAGGAAGAAATTACCATATTTCTATGTGCTTTGGTAGCCATCTAGCATGAGGAAAAAATGATCAAAAGGGTTAAAATAAAAAAAGATGTCCCATGATAGCTTAAACAAATAAAAGCTAGAACAAGAACAAAACCAAGAAAATGATTTGAGAAATCACCAAACAACAGAATCATGATGGGAACAAAAGGAGCATCAAAAAGAGTTGAGAAAGAGTATTCATTGCCAAGATATCATCAATATACATTATATTTAGTCACACTTACACAAACTCAATAAGATTCCAACATTAGTACAATATGTCTTGTTTTACAACTAAACACTTACCAAGGGACAAAATGCAAAGATAATCTGGCCGCAACCAATTGTTTTTTATTTTGTATTGCTAGCAAAACAGTCAGATATTCCCCTATACATGAAGTTTCACTTAGAGGTTAATCTTTTCATTCCTACAATCCATTGACTATGATTGGAAAAAATAAGAGACGATGCTAATGGCGGTTGCTATGATTGGAAGATGTCGGGCACTATATCTCGGTGAGCATTGACTAAATTTCTTCTTTGGCTTTCTCCTTTGGAAAATAGATTGAAAGTACAATTATTAATCTTTCCACAGCGTCTAATTAAGAACTTCATAGTTGGTACTTGTTCCAAGCGTAAAATTTGCGAGCATGATAAAGCACAGGGTAATATCTTCACAAATAACTTAAATTTACAGAAATCCATTTTTTCAAATAAATAATGCATAATATCAAATATATATTTAAAGACAATAAAATTTGAAATCACGAGATATTTATACGTTTTAGTATGAGGAACCAATACGACCCCACACACCTCT